AACCTTGTCACATGGTAGTGAAAGTAGGACTGTCATCTGTTAGGAACATTCAAACTTTCTGGCCTTGCTGACTTGAGCCTGGCTGGAATAAACCAACATTTGAAGAAGCGATGGTTTACCCACTTAACCTGGGGATATCTTAGCTATTTCTGTCTGGGGAGAACATTTGTACCATATGCTTAAGTCATTTTGTACTTAGCAGTGGCCTAGAAGCTGAATGTCCTTGAGAGAGTTAAGTTGGTTGCTTGCCTCAGAAGACGCCCAGTCAGAAGCAAGATCTTATATTTGAATGGTTAGTTTATTTGTAACTTGAGTGAAAATTTGGGGATGGAAAATGAAAAGCAGATTTAAGTGATATTGTTGACTTTTCCGTGCAGGCATATAGCATACAAATGTCTGTGCTCGATGGAAGATTTGTAACTGAATTGACTTGTCCAAGAGTTGCATTGCCACCATATTGTTTTGAAAAATTACATCAGGATTCATAGGAATTTTATGGGGCACAACTGCCACAAGAGTTTCTTTGCCAAAGATCTCTCTGTTTCACTTTAGATAAATTCAAGAAGGAACTATCTGTTCCAATTTGTGTTCTGACACCAAGGCAGGTAAAGATTCAATCTAACAACTTTAAGTAAGTAGGCACAAATGTCGTCAATGGGAATATAGAGCAGTTGAAACAAAGAGCTCAAAGAAAGGCAATTAGCAGAAAAATGTATTGCATACATGACTTAGCAATGAGACTGACTTACTTGTAAATGGCGTAATGGGAGATTTGCTAGATTATTTTTCGGCTCTGTGGATTACATCTGGACAAGTCAGGGAACTGTTGTAGATTTTAACAGTAAAGCAAGTTGATTTATGTTAGGTCTGTAATGTCATTAATGTCTAGACACGGACTAAATAAAACCGAGTATGTTCCCGAGTTATATACAGCTACTAGCCTAGTGTCAGTATGTGTTGGGTACGCAGCCTCCAACGTAAATTGTGCCTCCCCACGATGGTCCTTGAGTGGTATGGTCCACTTATGGAACCAGTTTGACCAGTTGCCTGTGGGTGCAGGGGCCCTGGGTGTGCAGCACACCAAACACCTATTGATTGACAGACAGTAGAGTCAATAGAAGCAGAGTAAACATTCCAGCCAATGCTGCAAGGGCAGTTGAAAAGATGGTGGGCATCCTGATATGGACAGTCCTGAGAACCTGGTTGGTACAAGCTGAACTCCCATAGTGCAGAAAGTTAGGTGAGAGACACAAGTTTGGGAAGTTGTGAGGTATGGCAGGGGGGATGAAACACACTACCCTACTTGTTGATCTACGGTTTTGTAGCAACATGTGCTGAGCTTACAGGCACAGACACTGGTGTCTTGTGTAAGTAGAGGCTTTGAGGATTGTTAATGTCGCTGTGGTATGTTTGTTGTCCCATGAAACAGTATTTCAGTTTCTTCAAGATCTTCATTTGCAAAGGTTTTGATGGCTGTCGTGTAACTGTGCGTGTGAGGCAGAGTAGGGTAGTACTAGTTACTTGATTAGAATGACATAAACTTGAAATGCCTGTCGTAGTAATGTACCTTTGACAGAATTTTTGTTAGGACTGTAGTGACTTCTTACAGATTTTGCTTGATTTTGATGTGAGACAAAAAAAAAACATGTTTGATGCCAGTGTTGAGAAAAAGTTTCTGGGAGAAAGTTGTCTGTGGAGAGATTTGCTACGGTAATAGAATATAAAGAGGAATCCATATGTCGTGTATGTGTTCAACAAAAATTCTTTTCCTGTAAGTAACATACGAGACTGTCTTTTTGTATTAGCATGGGCATTTTTGTGACTCACAAAAGGCAGTAATGGTCGGCACATTATTCCCTCAATGGTTTTCTTGTTCAGTTCTTATGCCCAAGAGGCATTTTCGCTAGAAGCGTCTGCTGGCCATGTTTTTACACAGGTGGCCACTCCGAGCCACTCATTGGGCTGTTTTTGCATCAAGTGTCCCAACATGGTGCATGGCTTCTTTATTCAGTCCCCGTTTGATTAAACACTTGAGATTCCACTATAATCCGAACAGTTGAAGTCGCCAGGATCTTTTACAGGTGTTGAGCTTCCTTCTTGGTCATAACTAGGTTCATTAGTTCCCCATGGGTGCCTCTCACAATAGGACCTTTCC